AGTGTTCAAAGAATGCACTTTCACACAGAGTGAACAGTGAAAAGGAGCCACACAGCACAGCATCAGGGAAGGAACCAGAGCCTTCCTGAGAGAGGACCTCTGATGCGGGCTGAACTCAAAATCAGGGCTACGAGAACGGACGTTTGAGACTTACAGAAGGAGCCAAAGGAGGACTTCCTCACTCTGCATATGATAATGCACAGGCCCAGGGGTGAGCAGATGTGTGACCCCAGCTGGCATTTAATCACATGCTGAGCCTAGAGTCCAAGCGCTGACCTGACTCCCAGGGTCAGGTGAGTACTACAGGGGATGCGAGGATGAGAAAATGGAGAACTTGTGGTTTTGGAGAGAGAACTTTGAATTAGCAATTTATAAAAACAGTAGACTCATAATTCAGTAAGAATCTAAGAAAAGGGAGAGGAAAGACTGAAGAGAGTGCGAACCAGGCCTGGTTAGGATATACAGAAACGAGGACTTGTGAAAACTGCTGGTTATGACTTCCATCACTTTTCTGAAGAGTGATTGGCAATGTCTGTCAAAAGGCTTAAGTATAGCAACCATTTCCTTGCACTCAGCATGTACTTACATCACATCTGATTATACACATTACGTATCTGATGCTAAGCAAGGCATCACAGATAAGCATTCCAAGACGGACAAAAGATGTCAGTCAGAGCAGTATCAATAATACAAAGAAGATGAAACAACCTAGATGTCCAACAACAGGAAACTGGTACAAACACTAATACTTTCAAGCAACGGATACCAAACAGCCATCAAAACTGGCTTGTTTATGAGGATGTGGAGACATTGGGACCTTGTGCACTGTTGGTGGGAATGCTGCTAGAAAACAGTATGGAGGTTCCTCAAAAATTTAACACAGAACTACCATGTGACACAGCAATTCCACTTCTGGGTATGTACCCAAAAGAACTAAAAGCAGGGACTTGAACAGATACTATACATCCATGTTCACAGCAGCAGTTTTCACAATGACCGAGAGGTGGCAGCAGCCCGAGTGTCCAACAAGTGAATGGACAACATACGGTGTAAAGATACAATGAAATATGATTTTACCTTAAAAAGAAGCTCTGACACGGACTCCAACACGGATGAACCCTGAAGACACTATCCCGAGTGAAATCAGCCTGTCACAAAGGACAAATACTGCTTGACTCCACTTTTCTGAGGGACCTAGACTGGTCAAATGCACAGAGAGTAGAACGGTGGCCGCTAGGGGCTGCAGGGAGGGGGGTGGGAATCAGTGAGTTTCAGTTTGGGGAGATGGAAAGAGCTGTGGAGATGGATGGTGGTGACAATTAGACAACGTTATCTAAATGTATTTAAGACCACTGAAGAACTGTACACTTAAAATAGGTAAGATGGTAACTTTTGTTATATGTATTTTACCAAAATTTAAAAAAGAAAAAGAAACACCTGGATTTTGGTGTTTCATAAGAAAAACCTAGTTCCTGGTGAAACCTGTAAAGGGAACTGTTATACATTTTTGTAAGAGTGGAAATTGTTACAAACTTGCAGAAGGGCAGTTTGTTCATATAGGTATAAAATATGTACTCTTTAAAATGTGCAAACATCTTTTTTTTTTTTTTTTTTTTTTTCTTTTGTCTTTCTTCCGTGTCCGGCAACGGATCGCAACCTTCAGTGTCGCCCCCGTACCGGACCGGGGACCGGCAACGGGATTGCAAGCCTCGGTGAACCGGTCTGTATGTGGGATCCGAACCCTTGGACGGGAGCGCCGCCGCGCTTCCCAAGCGGCGCACTATCCAGTGCGCCACCGGGCCGGCCCATGCAAACATCTTTTTTTGAGTGCATAATTGTGCTTTATTTTACAGCGTGACGTTTAATGATACATAAACGTGGTCAACAGAAGAAGTCGAATGCAGTACTGAGGGACAGCCACGCTCCTCACCCTGTTTCTGCCCTTCCCAGCGACTGCTTTCCAGATGTAACCACTTTTAGCCATTTTAGCTCTTTCTTGTAGTATTTACCTCAGTTGCTCATACACTTTTACCAAGGGATTCACCTGCTAAGAATCTGTCCTAGAAATACTATCAGGTATGTACACAAGGATTTAGGAACAGGGATGTTCATCGCTTCTTATTTATAACAAGACAATTGGAAGCAACATTTCTTTGGACTGTTTGAATAAATAATGACCTAAATATGCATAAAAGATTAGGCAGCCAGGTATATTTAAATGAAATGGCAATAAATAAAATACTATGTAAATGATATAAATATAGAATAAAATGTTGACAGGGATTACTTTTGGACAGTGACTAATATTAAAAATGAATTTTTCTTTGTGTACTCTTCTCAATTTCAAAATTCTCTTCAATATATATGTTTGCTTATAATAATAATTTAAAAATTGTGTGTTCAATGTGAAAAAGCTACCAGTCTGTGTAACAATCCTAACTTAGGTTTGTCACTGGTCTCAGTCAGGGCTCTTTCACCTGGGCATGGAGAAATTCAGCTCAGACTAGCTTAAGCAAGAAAAAAGAAACAAGAAGCAAAAAGGACTTCACTGGTTCCTATATAACAGCCATGACCCCGGGGCACACATGATACCCTCAGGCTCTGGCCGTCTGCAGCCCTGGCTGGACTCACCACCCTTCTGGCTTCCTCCTCAGCCCAGTGCTCAGTACAGGCAAGACAGAGGTGGTGCCCCCAAACCTCCACACCCCAGTGCACCACCACAAAGCAGGCCTTTACAGAGGCCCTGTGGCTGGTGGGGAAATCAGGTCCTCAGCCAGGCCAGGACTGCACCCCCCAGCAGTCATCTACAGCACAAGGCAGGAGTGGTTCCCCGAAAAGGGATGTTGGGCCAAAAAGTCCACCTCTGTGGACTTGTGTCTACGCTGATGAAAGAACATCTGGAAGGCCTCAGAATGTAAATGGATGGTGGGATAAAGGTAGTTTTTATTTTCTTTATATGTTCCTGTAATTTTTCTATGAGCATGTATTACTTTTGCATGATTTTTATCATATTTACTGAGCAGCAAACACTGCACCAAACACTCTGCCAAATACTTTCCAAAGACTAAACTGTCCTCACACAGTGTCCCCGTGAAGCAGGAACGCCTGCCACCTTCATTTTACAGACGAAGAGGATGAGGCGGAGGCGGGGGCGGACCCTGAGTCACGCTGTGGCGGCCCACCTCCAGAAAGCCTTAATCTTTTATGCTTTGCCTCAATCAGAAGAAAAGCAAAGCTATTTCCATCCTCCTAAAGACTAGTGGCCCCAACCCCCCAAGATAACTTCCCCTTTCCCTCACCCCAGTACAAAGAAGGTGCCCAACCTCACAGTGACATACCCCAGGAGATGTCTTACTCAAAAACACTGGCCTAAACGCTCCTATGTGTTAACACCCAATGCAAACTGTACTGTAGGAGGCACCATTTGGGTGCAGGTGACCTTGAAATGGCAGAGCAGCCAACCTGTTTAGTGTGAAAGCAGCCCTGAGGCCAGGGACTCCCACCGACACCAGGCACTCATGGTTTGTTTCCTCCACAGAGCTGTCTGACAGTGTCACTGGTTTAAAGTCACCGAGGTCCGGATAGTCCCCTGGCTCCTCTCACAACAGGTGGCAAGAAGATCCTGACTGCAGACTAAGGGTGGCAGCAACAGGGAAAGGCCCCTGGCCAGGAGTCCTCTCTGCCTCCTCCCTGAGCCAGGCTTCACCTTGTCAACACGTTCCACATTCCTCTGGTCTGCAGAAGCCCGTGACAGAGCCAGGCTGGCCCCATCCCAGACTGCACCTCCACAGAGGATTCAGGCCCAGCTTTGGCCATCACTGGCTAAGCCACTCCTTCTGCACATCCAGCTTGGGGGCCTCTGTGTTCACTGTCCTTTTCCTCTCATCTCCTGCCCAGCTCAAATGTCACCTCCCTGGAAGATCTTTATGTCCTCCCCAAGCACAGCATGATGGTGCCCTCTTTGGTCTTTATACTCATCCACACACTTCCTGCTACAGCCCCTAGCAGGGGTGTAAGTGTCCCCTCCCCAAACAGACCCCACTTTTCCACCCTCAGGTTAGGCACCTTTCTTTTTTGGTAGCAATTACTGAAGAGTCAAAATTAATTACAAACACGAGTTATCAACTTTTGCAATATCAGTATCCCTTAATCTCTGCGGAAGCTCCTAAAACTCCTAAGCACCAAGTAACACCTGGAAGGGTGGGGCTCCTCGTCCACCACACAGGCCCAGGCCCCTCACACCTGCCCTCAGCCTCTGAGATGGTTCCAACCGTGTGAGGCTGCTGCCACACTTGCCACTGGCACAGTCCCAGCAATCACAACACACTGCCATTGAAATCATCCCATCACATTTCAGGAGCCTTTGGGTGCCAAGCCCTGATCACACAGTCATGGAAAGCCACACTCTTTCAAGAGTGGACAGGTGTGCTCAGGAAAAAACTTAACAGCAGCCAGAAAGACATAAACCTCAGGAAAGCAGAAATCTCAGTGAGTGGTGCAAGGTAGACATCAGGGCCATCAGGAGACACGATGGGAAAGTAGCCAGAGAGGACTGTCTAACACCCATGGACTGCCCTGGGTATAGGGGGGCCTGTCTCACCTCCCTCTCTTCTTGCCATGCCCCCCCATGCCCACCCTCCTCCCCTCTCCATGGGCACAGGTGGAGCTCAGGCCCTAGCACACAAGGTGTCTACCCCTGGGAGTTTCTGGGCCATTCAATCCAGCTTTAGTGGATTTGGGGGCTTTTTCTTCGATCCAGCTTTAGTAAAAAGACAACTCAGGTTTTTTTTTTTTGTTTTTTTTTTTTTGGTGACCAGCAAGGGGATAACCCTTGGCTTGGTGTCGCCCGCACCGCGCTCAGCCAGTGAGCGCACCGGCCATCCCTATATAGGATCCAAACCCGCGGCCTCGGCGCTCCCAGCGCCGCACTCTCCCGAGTGAGCCATGGGGTCTGCCCGACAACTCAGGTATTAATACAGAAAAATCTGCAAACTCCGAAGGCATGTGTGAAACTGTGGGGTCCGTGTTTATTAGGAGGCACAGACAGGATGAGACAGTGGGCGCGGGTTCCCCGGCAGCGTGGTCTGGCTCCGCGCCATCCGCGGGGTGAACAGTCAGGGCTGCGTCGACTCTCCTTCCTTCTCGCTGGGGCCTGTGGTCAGGCAGCCCTACAATGCGCAGCAGAACGAGCGGCCTCAGGCACGGCTCCGGGCCATGCTGGCTTACCTTTCCTTAAGTGCACACAGCAGCTCAAAGGCTTTGGGGAGGATGCTAATTTTAAGGCAGGCAAAATCTTAAATACTTTCTCCTTATTCAAATATGGAGGATGCTAATGCACATACCAAGACAACGCCTCAGATAAGATTTGCTCCTTACATGTCACATCCACACAGTCAACAGTTGAGCACACAAAGGGTGTGGCCTCTCTGCTCCCACAGTCAGAAGCGCTGTGGGGAGGAGCCGCTTGACGCACAATCACATTCTGTCAACTGCAGGTCTCCCTGAGCGGCACCATCCCCACAGCATGGACGCTGAGACAGGTACCGATGGAGGAGCATTTCCAAGCAGGATTTACACACACCGAGAGACAGGAGAGCTAGCCAGTTAGTTCACAGCTAGCCCCTAGTTCTCAGAGGAAATGCAATGCCATGTTGAGAGATTTTTACCACCTAAGGCTTGTTTTCTATACTGAAGAAAGGCAGACTGGAATGTTGGTGGACAACCTCTGAATAAACCCCTCAAGTGGACAAGGTACAAAGCAGGAAAACCCACTAATCTAGGAGAAAACTTTACCTGGAAAAATATTTTTTTCTACATTTTTAATGCTATTACAGAAATGCTACTACTACTCGAAACTATTCCATTTTCAAAAGAAAATCAGCTTTCCTTACGCAAATGGACTACCAAGGTATTAGCTATAAGGATCAGAACATGTAGACATTTCAATAGCGTGTATTGTTTGATGGTCGTTTTACAAGGGACTGATTTCTGAGCCTAGCTTACCTCTTTTTGGTACAGGGAGCTGAACCCGTGACCTTGGTGTTACCAGCTCCATGCTCTCCAAGTGAGATAATGGGACAGGCCCCTCTGAGTCTAGCTTAAAATGCATCGTCATTGACATAGGAAGCTGTCTTTTAACGCTGGTAAACCGTTACTTCTTTCTGGATCAGAACAAGCTTTATACCAACAGCAAACATTATGAGGACTTTTTTGCTGGGCTATAAATAGCTCCATATGGTTTTTAAACTATGTGAAATTTCTTATATGAGGCATTGCAAAAAGAAAAGAAAGTACTATGTTTTTACCTTGGTAAGTATTTTTTTCTTTTACACATTATAAAAAAAAAAGCTTTTTACCCCTCTTCTGAAGAGTCTATAGAAGCAGCCTCCCTTTGGTTTGGAAACGGGGTGCTGTATTTTCTCTTCTGTATTTAATGGCAAATTTCCCTCATTTTCACTTTCATTGATGTCCTTGAAACATCCTGATTCAATCATCTGCATGCACAGAAGGGCAGGACAGAGAAGCCACAACAGACACTGTGAGGTCAGTCCGTGACCTCCCAGCACCATCAGCTCCCACCTACACCCGTGCTCAACACTGGGACCTCGGAGCTCCCAAGCCCACCCAGTCCCCCTCTCCTGGATTCCTGCTTCTGCTTCTAGACCTCTTCTTGGGGTAAGTAACGCGATCTCCTCTTCTCCTATCTCTAAGCATAACCCAAAAGCAGTTAACTACCGTGGGGAACCATGGCTGCCAGCCAGTCCTGCTTATAGAGTGGGACTCAGGGATGGCAAGCAAGCCCACATCGGACCCAAGAGGGCCACCTTCTGTCCACTTCCTGTAATTGGGACTGGGGGCAGCTGCTATGCTTTTGGACAATTGCTGATATGGTCCTTGGCTTGCCCATGATCTAAGTCTTTCATAATTTTAACCCCCAAACATGCACACACATTCACACACACTCACATTAACACACACACGCACTCACACACACACATACACACAGTTGCTCACACACACATTCACACATCCACATGCACTCACACACACATGCACACACACGTACACGTGCACTCACACACACTCTTTTATCATTGTTGGAACGAGCATAAACCTGCTACACTGGAAAGGGCAGTACCTCATTCTGCCAGGGGATGGAGACACACCCCGTAACAAACTGAGCATAGAAGTTTTCGTCTTTGGTGTCCAGGCAGACTCCTTTTACCGTGGAGAACTGCTCGATATCCAGGACATCCTTACAATACACTGCCTGAGGCTGCACACCAAGAACAGAGACAGGCATCAACCCATGACGTCGCTGGGAAAGCTCCCAGCCCCTCAATCTCAAAGGGTAAAGTGCACATGAAATCGATGCAGAAATACCCACACGTCCCTCTCTCCATTCCCTTTGCCAAGTTCCTCATTTGAAGTATTTTCTAATTCATACAAAATGGGTCCTCTGAGTGGCAGTTCTAAGCTCTTGATCTGTGGAAGTTTTAGTGTCACAGATCCTGCAGATGTTGTCTCCTCCCGCTCACTACTGCACGAGCTCTCTCTCACCCCTCCTTCTATTATTCTACAGTGGAAAATGGAGTGCAAACGAAGGCCAGGGGTGGAAGAGGACAGGACAGGGCGCTCCTGTTGGAAGACGCAATGCAGAACGGAAGACTTGTGAGATGGAAGGAGACCACTGGCTGTGGGATCCGTTAGTGGCAATTCTCACCCATGCCCCTAACCCTGTGTCCTCCTCATAAAGCACCTGCTTAAAGTCTGAGCTAAAAGTGGTCACTCCCACTTCTCACTCTCCCTGCCAGAGCTTACCTAGTGGTCTCAAGCAGAGGGAAGCAGCCAAAGCAGCAAGGTACCCTACCCTCCTGCGCCACTCCATGGATTGGCAGACCCCTCCTCTGGGACAGGAGCCCAGGTCTGCAGCCCCCAGCCATGGCACTGTTCGAGGTGCAAGGGATTAGGCAAGCAGGTAGGGAGCATAAGGCCAGCTGCTTGCATTTCTGGGGCTAAAGAACAAAACACACAGAACTCCACAGATTTGGGGCCCTCATCTGCTCAGCACATTTTACGCACATGCCAGAGCCTCAGCACTATAGGGAACACAATAATCAAAGCAGTGATGCTCTGTGGGTCACTAGCTAGCACTGCTCTTAGAGCAGCTGCTATTGGCTCATTTATCCCCACAGGTGAGGAAATGGATGTGAACTTGCCCCTGCTCTCAGGGACAGTTTAGAGGAAGGCATCCTGAGATTTGAGTCCAGGCCAAAGGCCCAAGCCCCATGCTGCCCTACAGACCAGAGCAGTCTTAGCTCTGCAAACGTAAGTACCTGACATGTTGTCATCAGACTCTACTGTGACTGGCTCCCCGTGGGTTCACTTGATAAGACTGAGGCAGACACACACACAGTCTGAGACAGCCCCAGAGCCCCTGCCCAGCATGCTCACCTCCCATGTCAGGACTGTGCTCTGGTGTCCTTCCACGTTTGGCTGATATGTCCCTCCTTAGAGACTGCCTTCGGCCTGACTTCCCAGTGCATGGTGGGCAGGAGGCCCTCCAGACCAGACAGCCATCTGGAGGCCCTGTCATGCTCTCGTCACTGTCCCATGTTTTCTCTGTCTGTTAGTCAGTCTCACTGTCTATCTCTGCAGCTATGATGGGCACCCTAGGAGCAGAGACCTTGCCTGTCTTGTTCTCCCCGTGCCATTAATTCCTAGAGCTGTGTCTGGCAGGAAGTAGGCATTCAAGAAATATGTAATGTGTGAATTAATTCCAGGTAGCAGTTACTATTCTAAAATATAACTTGAGTATAAAATAAACCTAACAAGTTCTGAACAAGTCATACAACTAAAATTATTTAATTGTATGTGTATCTTAATTCCATAATATCCTGCAAAATTACCTTCTCTTCACATTTCTATAGTGCGTCTGTAGCAGACTGTTCAGGACAGAGTTCAGACCGCTGTTTCTGTTCACTCACCCTTCCATCAACACAACTCTGTTTAGGGTCTATTAATATTCCCACCAGGCACTGACAAATGCCGGGCCCTGGCTGTGTACTGCAGAGACACGACCTCATTTGGTCCCAAGAGCACCCTCACAAGGAGGTACAGTGATCACTCGAGGGTCCTCAGTGTGGGGCCAGGTCACAGTCCCAGAACCTCAGGAGAAGTGCAGTGGGGACATGCATCCCAGACTATAGCAGCAGGCACATGCTGCAGTGTGAGAAGGTGAACACAGGGACAAGAGGTAAAGCCAGCACTGAGATCAGAAAGGGGACCCTGGGGACATGGAGGGCTTGGAAGGGCCTGCCAGGGAGGTCTCGGGGTGGTGCTGAGGTTTCTGAGGAGGGACGAGACTCCGCTCCACCAGCAGTGATGGCTGACAGCGACACCAGTCCCTGGGAGCCAGAGCACTGCAAGGGAGGTCTGCAATGGGTCTAGTGAGTGGCCGTGGGGGTTGGGGGATGATGGAGGAAGGAGGAAGAACTGGACATAACAGGCACAGAGCAGAAGCCACACCCTGGCTGTACCAGGTGATTCTGTATCTGCTTTTAAAAAAAATACGTTTCACAGACCAATGTTCTTGGGGACCCACTACTCCTGGCAACGTACTTACATCAGGGCAGAAAGGGGGCTCTAACACATTTGCTTCCAGCTTCCTGAAGTTCATGTCCTTGAACACAGGGTGCTGCTTCACCGCAGCGGCCCCATCGCCCTTGCAGCCCAGCCGCTCGCTTGGATTCTTGGTGAGTAGCTGTACAGGAGGCAGAAATGCACCAAGTTAAGCTCCTGGAATAAAAATGGTAACTAAAATTCCCCTCCACAATAGTAAGCAAAGAATTAGGGGTGGCAGAGAGCATATACATCTAAGCAAACATGAGGGATCTTCAAAAGGCCATGTAAGGATTCATATTACCTTTTAACTCCACTTTCCATGAACTTTTTGAAGTACCCTCATGCAGTCACTCAAATTTCAAAGTATCAACCACATTAATTCAGATTTACTATAGTTTATGTGATGCTTCAGAAACAATTTGGGCTAACATTTTGCCTTTGAGCTATCAATAAATAAAAGGTTGGCTAAGTTAATCCTTAAGTAAAAAAAATTTAATCATGTAAAAATTAGCAGACTTTTAAAGGACATAGAAACTGTTGAGAACTTCAGAGATACCATATTAATTCCAAGTTTATAATTAGGAACCATTTTAATTTACTCATTAAATAGAACACCGAGGACCTCAGATGAGGCAAAATTTTAGCACACCTAGTTCTAGAAACTACTCTTAAAATGAAGAAGTTTCTCTTTCAGAAGTATTCCTTACATACATATTTAGTTGTCACAAATTCAAATACTCCTTCCTCTAAAATTATCAATCAAAAAAGTTTAAGGAGGTAAAAGTTTAATAATCAAAAAAGGTTACAATTATTATTAATAAAATAGGTTAAAGCATAAGTCATATTTATTCTCTGGCCCCTTACAAAAAGGTTCTGATCTCTGCAGTAGACTGACGTCCAGTAACCATGCCTTTTCTGGATGTAAATCAAAGTCCCACAGACCAGAAGGCACCCTGATCCCAGCTTGTCTGTGAGGCTCCACCTCCCACCCACCCATACAGCGCACACTGGTGGAGCTCGGAACACAGACCTACTTCCTTGCTGTGCTGTGCCTGCCCCAGGGCCTGTGTCTAGAAAACTCTCTGACTCACTGGCCCCTACTAAATTCCTCAGTGCCCAGCCTACTTGGCCCAGGTCTGCACTGGATCAGGCCCCCTCTTCCAATAAACAGCCTCAGTGCATCTTCTACTCCCCCTTTATGACACTCATCACAACTGTGGCAAATAAATCGCTCAGATAATTGTTTACTGCCAGTCTTTCCGCTAGACTCGAAGCTTCCAGAGGTGAGGGCCTTGACTTCATTGTCCACTCTGTGTCCCCAGCACCTAGCCAGAGCAGGTACTCAATAAGACGTACTCAGTGTATTCATTCTTTGCATGCTTTGTTAATTTAAAATAGATCTGAAAATTAAGTGTAATGCCATACACAATGTCTACAAAGTCAGGGATCCCGTGACTCCACTATGAAGCCTACTGCCAACAGACACCTGTTAAAGGCCATGGACAGTCTGAATATTTGTGTCTCCCCCCACTTCATATGTTGAAACTTAATCTCCAGTGCCATAGTATTAACAAGTGGGGCCTCCAGGAGTACTTAGGTCATGAGGGCAGAGTCCTCCTGAATGGGATTAGTGGCTTTATATAGGAGGCCCGAGGGAGCCTGTTTGCCCCTTCCACCATGCAAGGACACAGAGAGGCAGCTATGTCTTTGAAGCAAAGAGCAGTCCTCACCAGACACTGAATTGGCTGGCACCATGATCTTAGATTTCCCAGCCTCTAGAACTGTGAGAAATAAATTTCTGTTGTTTGTAAATGACCCAGTCTAAGGGACTTTGTTATAGCAGCCTGAATGGACTAAGACAGATGGCCTGACCAGGGAGCACAGGGCAGAGGAAAGAGCCTTGGTCCCAAAGTCTCAGTCCTCCTGCTGCCACTTACTACATGACATCACAGAAATCAAACCGTGAGGCTATCAGAATATCTTAGAAATCCACTGTAGGGACTAAATGACACCGTGTCAAAGAGCTCAGGACATTACAAAAAGGTACCCAAATGTCCGGTTAGTTTGACCTCCCATTGGGATTATGTAAAAACTGTTCTCTTTCCTTTCCTCTCTTCTCTCCATTCCACACAGCCAAATATGCTAACCTCAAGCCAAGCCTGGTTCGTTCTTTCAGGAAACGCACACAGAGCATGAGGAACAGGCAGGACACAGGCCTCCCCTGCTCTGCACACCTCTGGGTGATCCCCGCACACTCCTCTCGGCGTGCTGAGGCCCGTCCTCACCCTACACCTCCTGCCTCTGCAGGTGCTCACTCTGCCTCTGTTCCTGTGCAAGGTAACTAACTTCCTCCTCCAATCCCTGCTTGCTGGAATTTAACCCATTCTTTAAGAACAATTGTTTTTCCTCTTAGTGATTATTGAGGATTATGTGTTACTAAACACTTTATGTACATTATTTCATTCTATCGTCCCAACAATCCTGTAAGGTAGAAGTTGCTCTCATCCACATTTCATAAATGGGAAACTGAGGCTGGGCCCCAACTTCAGCGCCAACACTCCTCCTCACAACACAGTGCTCCAGCCCTCGCTCAGGCACCACCTTCATTCCCAGCACCTCCAGCACAATAGGATTCCTTCATCCTTAAAACCCTTAAGCCCTTCTTACTCTCTTGTTTAGGACACCCGTCAAATACTGTTTTTTTTTACTACAGCCGTTCTTATGTTTGCTTTAGCCTAATGTTAGGCTGTGAGCTCCTTAAGGGCAGGCTCTATTTCTGATTGCTATTTTTACGTTCCTGCGCCTTGTCAGAGTGTTCTGTGTGCAGCAAGCACTCAGTCAATATTTACCAAACTCAAAATTAACAGTAGCTTGGCCCCAACATTATTAAACACTGTTGACTCCCAGCACAATGAGCCAGCTGGGAGAAGAGCCAGGCTGACCCCAGGGCTCAGAGACAAGCCTGCAACACCCATCCCTCACATGTGGAAACAAAACAAGAGGGAGTCCAAGGTAACTATTCTCCAGCCACTACCAAATCACCTCAGTTACTGACACATTTCAGTGACAGGTATGATTGCTGGTGACTCCAACACCCACACAGGGGACCTGTGCAGCCCGGTGGCCTTCTCTTCTCCAATGACCTTGTCCTCCATCCCACGTGCCCCTGCAGCTACTCTCTCCCTGGGTCACACCCTAGACTCTCCATGGCTTGCACGCCCTCTGTCAGCTCCATCCCAAGCACCTTCCTCTCTGGATGTCCCTCCAGTCCTTGTTACTCCTGTCTAGAAGTGCCCTGACTCCAACAAATCATGGGCTGCACTTTGCCTGTAATCTCCTGAACCTGCCCTTTCCCCCACCCCCTTTCCTCATCCTCCTCTGGAAGCAGCTGGAGATCCCGTGGTCACCCCTCTGCACACAACAGCTGCCCTGCCCCTCCTGCTTCTTCACACCTGTTTAGCCAAACCACAGAGCTGGGTGAGCCCAGCTCCCTGTCTGCTTCGAGCCCGCACCCGTCCCACTGAGTGTGCCAGAAGTATAACACATAGTCATGGCCACCACCTCTCTTCAGATCCATGAGGGCCCCTGATGCTGTGACGACACCCCGTCTACCTCCCAGTTCTCCCGTCTCGTCTCCTTGTCCTCCGTCCCCCCTCACCCACATCTGCCTGCCCCGTTCTGGGCACACTGTGCCTCCTCTCCCACCCTCACCCTCCCTGTGCACTGGCTCCTGTCCTCCTCCCCACTGTAAGGACTGCTCAGCACATCCCCCTCCTCCCCCCGCCCCCGCATCTGCCCAGGCCACCATCTTGGATTCAGCCCGGACTCTTCCCAGCACATGGGCAAGTCCTGTAGGCTCCACCTTCACGATGTATCCAGATTCTGACCAGGCAGGCTCACCGCAAGCTCTGAATGAGCTCTCCTGGGCTCAAGATGGCTGGGACTTGCTGACTTTTTTTTTTTTAACTGCCAGTGAAAACAATTAGAGTGAGTTAGATGTTCAATTTCCCAACCTCTACAGAGCCTGACCTACCATCCTGCAGATAGATTTCGTGTCCTTTGAAAACTTCGCAGAATACTCCTCAGTATCCATCCTGACTCTTCGATCAACCTCCTCCCGTTTGACTTTCTCTTTGAACTTTCTGAACGGAGAATGTCCCTGAATCATTTCATATATCAGACAGCCAAGTCCCCACCAATCAGGACTAAATGTATAGTTTTCATTATTGATAACTTCAGGAGCTACACAACAAATAGAGGAAATTTAAATTAAATTAAATTTTGGTTTTAAATTTTCTTGTAATTAACTCCAAATAATACATTATAAGTTTAATGTCTGTTACAACATGGGTGAACCTTAAAAACATTATGTTAAGTGAAAGAAGCCAAACACAAATGGCCAAATATTATATGATTCTATTTAGACGGAATAGAAAAACCCATAGAGACAGAAAGTAAATTAGTGATTGCCAGGGCTGGGGGTTGGAGGTGAGTAAAGGGGAGTGGCTGTTAACCGGTATGGGTTTCTTTTTTGAGGTGATAAAAACGTTCTAAAATAAGATACTGGTGAGGGTTACACAACTCTGAATATACTAAAATCCATTGAATTATATACTTCAAACTGGTGGATTTTATATGTGAGTTATATCTCAACAAAGCTGTTATTTTAAATGTTGGCATTACTCCTACAGGACAAGCTGAACTGCCACAGAGTAACTACCACGGGAAGTGGTGCTCTAGTGCAGATGCCGCCTCCAGGGCGGTCCCTCCAGACATGCACAGCCACGCCCCTGGTGCCCCAAGTCAGCCAGAAGCCCCAGAAGCTGGTGACAGCAGAAACAGCAGGGAATGGGGTCTTACTACTGGATGCCACAAGGTGCTGAGGTCTCTCAGAGGCCACCCGTGGGGGTCAGGCTGGCACTGCCCAAGGAGTACTGAGACTAGGATGATTTCACGAGGGGTCTGCAAGACCACCATGGGGGAGGACACGGCAGAGCAAGGAGACATGTGGTCTTGTCCTGGTTCTGCCCCCAAGAGCCCTCTTTGGAGCCCACTCCCCATCTGTAAAAAGAGAAGGGCAGACTGTAGGATTCCTTAGCAGCTCCAACACTCTGACTGGTTAAAGGCTTCAAACCACCATTGTACATCCGCTGGTGTGTTAGACCTAAGCTCCAGGCGGCTCTGTTGTAATTTCCCTATGTCCCGAGGCGCTCAGGCATCCATATGCAAAGGACGAGGACTGCTGAGAAGGTCTTTCACATACCCATGTAGCCAACTGTGCCAACTTTTCCTCGAACTGTCTTCCCTTCTGGGATCTCTATTGCTAAACCAAGGTCTGAAATCCGGATATGTCCTGTGTGTCCAAATACATTAAGTAAATCAAAGGGGGAAGTAATGACACTTTAACAACAATAAAATTTTGGAAAAAAATCATCTTAAAAACCATGGGTGGAAATAATAGCATTTCATACTTGGGAACATTTAAATGTAAAATTACATTTAACTTTTTCACATTTAATAAAATTCCATACAGTGTGTTCAGTTTCACTAACAGCAGGAAATTAGATTTACACCTGGCTATTGATGAGGAAGCCATTAATCACAGACAACCACTTGATAAGACAGATAGAAGCATGGTATTTATTATTTTATTTCTATACAGCTACCAAGTACATAAATTAAAATATGATGAATATTTTATCAACTACAAAATAGCAAACACTTTCTGTCAGAGAACCAGTAGGCTTACATACAGGGACAATTATACATGAATGAGATGGGGTTTTTCTATGGAGAACAAATGGTAATAGAGTTAGGGAAATAAAATTAAGGTACTTCTCATAAAGAACTATATGACGTGTTAATGTCTGTAGTAGATTGACCTATGTCCCCCCAAAACTCACTGAGGCTTTAATTGCCTTCCAAGTTACATGTATTAGAAACTTGGTCCCCACTGTGACTGTTAAGAGGTGGGAAATCCTATTATGGTAACTGAAAGTGGAGCCTTGAAGAGGTGATTGGGTTGTAGGATCGTGCAGTAGTGAATGGACTAAAAATGGTGGTCAGGGGCGTGGTTCTGAGGGCTTTAAAAGAAGAGGAGAGTCTGTCTGTCTCTCTGTGCTCTCTCTGCTTCCACCAACTTGCAATGTGAGTCCCCTGGGTCACTGTCACCACCACCAGATGCACTTTGGACTTCCCAGCCTCAGAAACTGTAAGCAATAAATTTTGTTTTTCTTTATAAATCACCCAGTTTCAGGCATTTTGTTATAAGCAATGTATTCAGGAGGGTTTAAGTATCCGTTGAGTTCCTATGAAAATAACAAATTACAGAACACATTCTTTTGAGAGTATAGAAAGATAAACCAGCCTGGAAACAGACACCCTCTTCAACTTAATCTCCACTTCTCCCCTTGTAGCAGTTAAGCACACAGACTCTGGAGCTGGATGGCCTGGGTATGAGCCCCAGCTCTGCCATCAATTACCGTGTCTCAGTTTCCTCCTCCCATGAAGAAAGACTGTCTCAGTAATGAGCTTACGTGTCAATTATGTTTAAGTAGAGTGGCATGTTGTGACTTATTTTTTAAGTATCACTGTCTTATTTTTCTTTTAAAAAGTAATTTTTAATTTTTTTAACATTTACTTGTACATTTTTGTGGGGTACAGTGTATTGTTTCAATACATGCATACACTGCACAATGATTCACTTAGTGTAAACAGCATAGTTTTGTATGCATTAGTCCTTTCTCCCCCACTCCCCTGCCCTCCTGGCCTCTGGTAACCATTATTCTACTCTTTATCTCTAGGAGACCTGCTTTATTTATTTATTTTTTTAAGATTCCACATGAGTGAGATCGCACAGCATTTGTCTTCCTGCGCCTGACTTAATACACTAAAAAGTAATCTTTTTTTTCCTTTTTGTCTTTTTTACTGACCGGTAACGGGATTGCAACCCTTGGTGTCGTGCCCGTACCGAGGACCGGCAACAGGATCGCAACCCTCGGTGTTGCACCCGCACCGCGCTCAGCCAGTGAGCGGGAACCGGTCTCCACATGGGATCCGAACCCTCGGTGGGAGTGCCGCCGCGCTCCCAAACGGCACACTCTCCAGTGCGCCACCGGGCCAGCCCTAAAAAGTAATTTTTAAACTGAGAAATGCAAATTAAAACTACACTGAAATACTAACTCCTGTCTAACAAACTGACAACCCCCCCCACGTTTGAGGACACGGTCTGCTGGCAAGGCCATGGGAACAGGTGCTCTCACACATTGCTGCTGGGGATACTAACAAGGACAACACCCTGGAGTAGAATTTGGCACTATTTGACAAAATTGCACATAAATTTACCAACTTCTATGAATCTACGCCAAGAAGACACTAGAAAAAATAGGAAATGACACATGCACAGGGCTACTGATTACAGCACTAACTGAAATGGCTAAAAGACTGGAAATGAACCAGTATCTATCAGTGGGACCGGGCAGATACAGCAGGTTCATCTTTTGCAGGAGCCACAGGAGGAAGGAGGAAGATCTCCTCTGGTGCTGCAGAGCCATCTCTGCTACAGAATAAGCAGAAAAGCGAAGTAGAGAAAACTATTCATGGTTTACCACCTTTTACCTAAGAGAGGGGTGGGGAACAATACAAGCACTCATCTATGTAAATAAAGGAATGAAAAATGAGCTAAAATGATTACTTGGGGAGGCGGACAGGAATGGAATCTAGGAGTCTCTGAAGATGCTGTTTTGCACTTTGCCTCTTTGCACGTAAATGTTTTCCATAATAGCCAAAGAAAAAAATTAAAAATTAGGTCACTAAAAATTGAAAACAAAATGAAGAAATTGAAAGTACAATAACTGGACTTCCGGTCAGGACGGTGGAATAGACGGTCCCCAGCATCACTCTTTCTCACAAATCAACCAATTTACAACTATAAAAAAGCAACGACAGCCAAGCTGGGGCCACTAGAGCTCAGGGGAAGAGGAGGAGAGACCTATAGAGTGCATGAAGGTGGGAGAAGCCACAATGAGAGAAAGAAGAAACCTCTCCATCTGTTTTGAATCCTGGCCGTTTCCAGGCTGGAGCTGTTGAGTGTGTGGAGCAGGAGCTGGCAAAAGCTGCAGCTGTGCCCTTCGGATGAAGTTGCTTGGAGGCAGCAGGGAAGAAGAGGGCCTTGGTGGCCCCCTGGTCAGCAATACCACTAATAGGGTTCCTGTGGACCCACATAGGACCAAGGAGCCACAACAAATGAAACAAAGGAGCCACTCAGAGGCCGGTGAGTCATCACAAGGGACTGGAGCATGGCCCGCCCCATGAGAAGTGTTTAGAGCACAGGCGGTGGGGGAGATAGGCCCACCAGGAGAACACGGGGCACAACAAGGACAGCTGATCTGCCCCCCAATCAGCATAGGACCAGTCAGAGGAGACTGGTCAGGAATATGGAATTGCATGGGGTACAGCTTGATGAAAAGACTCAGACCCAGACCAGTGTTTCTATACAACCCAGAAACAGCGCATCTCTGGAGAGTCAGAAGTACCTATAAGGTCAGCCATTAAAACCTGAGCTGCACAAAAAGCCTTCCCCAGGGAATCAGCAGCAAAGCAGCAATTTAGCTCAACCACAGAGCTCAAGTACTGGTCCCCACAGGAAGTTCCCCACTTTAGAAGTAAGCAAAGGACAACAAATTAGTTCCAGCACAGTGTTTAAGTAGTGGGAACAGCAAATAATCCAACATAGAACTGAAAGAAAAAACAAAGTACCCACTGGGGCCCGCCCAGGGTGCTGAGGCATGGATCCAGGGACTGGACCATCTGCTCAGAACCAGGCATGCTGCCAGTGCCATGGGGCCTGCCTGGAGCCCTGAGGCATGGAGCCAGGAGCCACCAGCAACTAGGTAAGGAGCATGCCAAAAACGTCACCTCTGTGTGGGTGGCCCACCAGAGCCACCACAATAACCGTGGCTGCCGTGAAAGTGGCTAGATATCACAACCACTGTGCAAATGGTCTGCCAGCCACTGGAGTGCATTGACACAAGGAGAGTCACCAGCAGAGACCAAAAAAAGAAGAGGGTGTCTCTCTCCACAAAGCCCATTCCAGAGTGACAGAAGAAGCATCTGCTTTATGATAATATTGGGGGACCTGATCACATCTCTCAGCATTGGACAGATCATCTAGGCAACAAATCAACAGAGTAACCATTACTCTTTCAGAAGGAGAGAGAAAATCTAGGGTTATCAGAGGTGGGGGCGGGGAGGGTGACGGGGTTGAGGAAGAGATTGGACAAGGGGCATAAAGAATAAGAACGATTTGTAATGATATATATACAAGTAATACTGATTTGATCAACATATGTCAACATTGAACCCCCAAAATATGTATAATCAATTATGATTCAATAAAAATTAAAAAGAAAATACAATAACTGAACTGAATACCCATGTAAGCAAAGAATACTGCTAATGACCAAAGGAACTTCAAAGAAAGCATACACTGTTTTCAGTAATTGCAGTGACGTGATATTATTAACACTGCTACTCTAAAACTCTTTTATATGTGTAGTAGACAAGGTAAATAAGTAATTGTGTTGATGTCATTAGGAACTAGTATGTTCAGCATTAGGAGAAAAAAGCATAAGTATGAAATGAAGAAATTGGGTAAGAATTGGAAATATCAGTATGAATCCACGGTGACTATTTTTTTTTTAAAAAGGCCCAGAATGACACACAAGAGCACCAAGCACCCAGCACCCACCAGCGGTTTCCACGTGAAGACTGGGCTGCCTGCAGAAACAGCAGTTCCCAGGCTCGGTCAGCACATGCACAGGACAATCCCTGAATGTCTCATATGGCAGAAAACAAGTAAGTTATTAAAGACTACTGGGTGTCCACTGGCCAAAGACGGGACGATCTGAACGTCAAAAAGAATAATGATTCCAACAGATTAAAACCTATTGAATACGTTAAAAATCCTTGGTTCATAATGATACCAGAACAAAACAAAAATTTCACCGGTTGTCTTGGAGGATGATAGAGAACTAATGCAATATCCTGAAAAGTGAACATAAAGATTAGTACTCAAGTATTCACCCACTTCTCCTGAACAAACATGCAACCAAATGTGGACAAGGTAGTTTGGTTTTTTTTACAGATGAATCCCAGCAAATAAATGTAAAAAGAATGACAGAATATCATCACTTTACAATCCCAGTGAAATGATGTATCTAAACATTGATCATTTAGCCATTAAGTGAAAGGCTGGCAAGGAGGTGAATAACAACGGATGAGACCACTGATGCATCTTAACCCCATAAAAAGAGATGCTCGGCCATCATGTGCCTCCTGTTGTAACTGGACAGG